AGCATTCAGACAGGTTTATAATTGTGACACTGGTAGACAACATTCAGACAGGTTTATAATTGTGACACTGGTAGACAACATTTTATCTGGTTTATAATTGTGACGCTGGTAGACAACATTCAGACAGGTTTATAATTGTGACACTGGTAGACAACATTTAATCTGGTTTATAATTGTGACACTGGTAGACAGCATTCAGACAGGTTTATAATTGTTGCACTGGTAGACAACATTCAGACAGGTTCATAACTCTGACACTGGTAGACAGCATTCAAGCAGGTTTATAATTATGACATAGGTTTGCATCAGTATTTAAGCAAGCTGATAATTGTGACATAGGTTCACATCAGCATTCAAGCAGGATTGTAATTATGACATAGGTTTGCATCAGTATTCAAGAAAGTTTATAATTATGACATTGGTTTTCATCAGTATTCACGCAGGTTTATAACTGTGATGCACTCTGACTTTAAAGGAAGCACCCTGAACTAGTCAACTCTTATGCCATGCTTGTTGGGGGAGCAGTAGGTCTGTTCCTTTTATCTGCCCATAAAATGAAACCTTGGAACCCGTACAGAATAACCCTATTCTTTGTATTCTTGCAGCTTTACTGCAGTTGGTACTACTTTCATCGTCAACATTTACCATGAGGTTTTTTTGAACAGTTTTACAATCCCAACATACCCGTGTTTAAAATTGCCTGCAAGCAGTTTGGTACAGACCTCTTAATTGGTTTTGGCAGTGATTTTAGCATCATCATCATCATCAATCAGCAGATCCTTTACAGAATGTCACTCTCATCACTTCTTCTTCTTTACTTCCTCTTTTACCACTATGGGTGTCAAGAGAGATATAAGGTCCTGCTTTGTGCTCTTCTGGCTGCTTTGACCATTGACACATTGTGGTGCTGTAGAGTTTCTTTAATGCTATCTTTCCATCTTGTTCTTGGTCTATCTCTTGCTCTATGTCCTTCTCCTCTTTTGGTATATGCCTTGAATGGTATAGCATAAAATGAGAACATTAGGCGAGGAGAGAAGTGGGTCAAACTGCCACCTGAACAGTCAGATTTGTGTAGGGTCTGCAGAGACTGGCCAGCAGGTGCCACAGAGGTGGAAATTCAGCAATTAATTCAAGATAATGCTCGCACAGAAGATTTGATCATTTACACAGACGGTTCAGTGTTAAGAGGCAAAAGAAGTGCTTGGCTTGTGGTTTCTTTGCAAAAGTTAATGGTCGACATTTGGTGCAGGAGAGCCTAGCATATGATACCACAAGGTCAAGTTTAAGAATGGAGGTGGAGGCGGTCACTGCAGCTTTCCGCTGGCTAGAGAACATGACACACACACATATCGTGATTGTAACTGACTAAGAAAGCATGCTGAGGAAGATCAGGACAGTCATGCTTCATGCAGAGTGGCATGCCTTGCTACGGAAGACACGGGTGAGGAGTATTGTCTGGATTTTTTCACCAGGGTATGCCGGTGTGTTGGGAAATGAACAGGCGGACAGACTGGCTGGCTCTGGGCAGCTTGGTGGAATACTGATGCACGATAAGGCAAACATGGTTAGTGCCTTGTGGGAGAGCTTGTACAGTGAGGAGGAGCAGATTGATCACCACAGTGTGGTGAGACTGATGCAGTTGGGAGTGACAAGAGGTTCTGGCAGATGCTCGAGGCTCAGAGGAAAGGCAAGACGGACGTTAATCAGAATGCTACTGGCACTGTTAGTATCGGAACTCTTCGCTGGCTGCTGAAGATGGGGACGGAGCGCTTTTGGAAATGCCCCGAGTGCTGTGATGTCGGTTCTTGAATCAAATCAAATCAGTGGTATAGCATGCCTGAAAATCTCCCGTTCTCTATCTTTTTCTTTAACCCTGTTTGCTTTTGTAGCTAATATATCTTCAGTATCTTGTCACGAAGGTCTGCCTCGTTTTCCAGAAACTACCCCCTTCACCATTTTGTCCAGGCTACCATTACGTTTAACACTGCCAAAATACCTCAGCTTTTGGGACAGGATGCTGTTTATGAGCCAGTTCTCCTGGATGCTCAGATCATGTAGGATGTCTGTGTTTTTCTTCTTAGTCCGGGGTATTTCAATAATTTTTCTGTTGCATTTCAGTTTAACAGTTCCATTGTTTTTATTCACTAATTGAGTAAGAGACACTGAATCACATCCAAAAGTTTACACAGGAAAGAGACATTGTCTCCAAATGTTTACTTGAACTTGCTGGCAGGTGCTTTATGCTGTCTTCAGATGTTTACTTGAACCTGCTTGCAGGTGCTTTATGCTGTCTCTGGATGTTTACTTTAACCTGCTTGCAGGTGCTTTATGCTGTCTCCTGATGTTTACTTGAACCTGCTTGCAGGTGCTTTATGCTGTCTCCTGATGTTTACTTGAACCTGCTTGCAGGTGCTTTATGCTGCCTCCGGATGTTTACTTGAACCTGCTTGCAGGTGCTTTATGCTGTCTCCGAATGTTTACTTGAACCTGCTTGCAGGTGCTTTATGCTGTCTCCTGATGTTTACTTGAACCTGCTTGCAGGTGCTTTATGCTGTCTCCTGATGTTTTCTTGAACCTGCTTGCAGGTGCTTTATGCTGTCTCCGAATGTTTACTTGAACCTGCTTGCAGGTGCTTTATGCTGCCTCCGGATGTTTACTTGAACCTGCTTGCAGGTGCTTTATGCTGCCTCCGGATGTTTACTTGAACCTGCTTGCAGGTGTTTTATGCTGCCTCCGGATGTTTACTTGAACCTGCTTGCAGGTTCTTTATGCTGTCTCCTGATGTTTACTTGAACCTGCTTGCAGGTGCTTTATGCTGTCTCCTGATGTTTACTTGAACCTGCTTGCAGGTGCTTTATGCTGTCTCCTGATGTTTACTTTAACCTGCTTGCAGGTACTTTATACTGTTTCTGGATGTTTTCTTGAACCTGCTTGCAGGTGCTTCACATTGTTCACAATTTGGAAAAAAAAATTTGCTGAACAAAAACCACCTAGTAAAACAACACAACTAATAAGTGCTGGGGTTGGAGTAAAACAACAGAACTAATACGTGCTGGGGTTGGAGTAAAACAACACAACTAATACGTGCTGGGGTTGGAGTAAAACAACACAACTGATAAGTGCTGGGGTTGGAGTAAAACAACACAACTGATAAGTGCTGGGGTTGGAGTAAAACAACAACTAATAAGTGCTGGGGTTGGAGTAAAACAACATAACTGATAAGTGCTGGGGTTGGAGTAAAACAACACAACTGATAAGTGCTGGGGTTGGAGTAAAACAAAACAACTGATAAGTGCTGGGGTTGGAGTAAAACAACACAACTGATAAGTGCTGGGGTTGGAGTAAAACAACACAACTGATAAGTGCTGGGGTTGGAGTAAAACAACACAACTGATAAGTGCTGGGGTTGGAGTAAAACAACACAACTGATAAGTGCTGGGGTTGGAGTAAAACAACACAACTGATAAGTGCTGGGGTTGGAGTAAAACAACACAACTGATAAGTGCTGGGGTTGGAGTAAAACAACACAACTGATAAGTGCTGGGGTTGGAGTAAAACAACACAACTGATAAGTGCTGGGGTTGGAGTAAAACAACACAACTGATAAGTGCTGGGGTTGGAGTAAAACAACACAACTAATAAGTGCTGGGGTTGGAGTAAAACAACACAACTAATAAGTGCTGGGGTTGGAGTAAAACAACACAACTAATAAGTGCTGGGGTTGGAGTAAAACAACACAACTGATAAGTGCTGGGGTTGGAGTAAAACAACACAACTGATAAGTGCTGGGGTTGGATTGCAAAGTCCTGAATAGAGTGAATATATTTTTAATAGTTTTAGTATTTAAGCTACCAGTGCCAAACATGGACACTATCTAGCGAGATGAGATGCCTGAGGAAAGCAGCCTACCTAACCGTCTGAGATTGAGTGAATAATGATATTATCAAACAGATTGTGGGAGCGACACCTCATACTAGATTCATTGAGGCAGCAGATCATGTTTTTTGGCAATCTTGTTAAAATGCAGCGAGATCAAATACCATCACAAGCACTAAATCTCAGAAGATCGGCTACAAGAGCAATAGGACATCCTCGGAAAAATGGATCGACAACATTAAAGACACTCTACACCTTCACAGCACGACAGTAGCCAGTGGCAGTCAGCGTGCACTGGATCGCAAATTATTCCTCCCCATGGCGCTTAATGGCAGAAGTGGTTTATATTGATGATGTATTTTTAAAACATTAAAGGACCCTTGTGCATACTTTTAAGCCTATTGGGCATATAGGGCTAGACCTATATTTTATAGACCAGTCAGCACTTAGTGCATGATGTGGTCAGCCAATGCCGGCTGCCTTTACCTCCCATTACTGCTCCTCGTACCCACTCAAGGCTGGGTCAGCCTGGGAGCCAAAGTCATTTTTGAAAAAAATTCAGGCTCTGTCAGAATTTAACATATAATATCCAAAATGAAGAATTTCATTGTTTCTATATTGACCCTTGAAGTGGCAGCTCTCCACCAGTGTTCCATGGCTCCATTGTGGGGAAAACAAGAACAGACCCAGTACCTTCCCAGCAAGCATTCTGTAGGAGTTGACAAACTGGGGACTTCCTTCCAAGTCTGAATGCATCTGCCCGATCGGCAAGAAACAACCAACTGCACACAAATAAGCCAGTAAAACGAATGTACACATAAAACTCAGTCCCTGGCACAAAGTCAACGTCCAAATGGTAAAAAAATCAGGACTATCTGCCGGAGCTTAAAGCCGGTAAACAGAGGAGAAAAAGAGGAACTGGCACATTGTGTGTTGGCTTTCAAGTAGGCTGTGATATCTACCGATTTTAACCAAACACATAAACTTTCAATAAATTCCTAATTTGTCATCTTTTACAACATGCTTATTATGGGGCACCCCACCCCACAAAAGGCCCATGGAAACCCACACGGGGACAACAAATTTGACTAATAAAACCATTATTTCTTGTATTTCTTCTGCAGACCCCACCTTGTTCAACGGAGAGTCTTGGGAACTTCTTATACGAAGATGGGCGAAGCTAGAAAAAGATTTCAGATTAAAGAATGGCCGTTTTGACATCAGCAAAATCCCAGACATTTACGACTGCATCAAATACGACCTTCACTACAACCAGAAAACACTGCAGTTTAAGAGGGCACAGGAACTGTTTATGTGTTCTAAAGCACTGGCAGACATTATTATACCTCAGGTAAGAGTTCCCTGAAATTTTATCTTCAGTGATCTGTGGTCATGAGCCATAAACTGCGATGTCATCTCAAGGTCTCTTATGTCTCCCCAAAGCTTAGTTGTCAGGTTTTCTGGGTATGGCCACATGTTGCTTTGCATCTCTGCCAAGAGAGGTCAGTCTTGCAAGACTCATTTTGGAGTCTGTTCAGCATGAAGACACTGACAGAGAGCTGTTTGGCTCAACCTCATCAAGTGCCTTGCTAACTGGCGGGGGTGATCATGCCGCTCCACAATCTGTGATCTGCAACTGCGTGTATCAGTTTGTGTGTTGTCACCCCCTCCTTGCCATGACAAAATACTGTCAAAAATGTTTTCACTCTGTCTTCCTATGTCTTTCTTTTCAAAGATCTTTCCAGTGGTCACAATATGTTCCAATTTCCCTCTTCTCATAACATGACCACAAAAAATGATGACTATTTCTGATGTTTGTGATAAGTTGTCTTCGAGCACTCGCCTCTTTTAAAACATCTGGGTAGCTCCTCTTAGCTGTCCGAGGAATTCTAAGGATTATTCTCTAAAACCACATCACTGAGGTCTCAAGATATTGTTTGGCTTGTTTATTAATTATCCAGGATTCACAGCTATATGTTAACACTGGCTCTATTTGGCATGCGAGAATTATTTTCCTAACCTTCAATGAAATATTTTGGTCACTTGAAACGTCATGGAAGTCTAGAGAGAACAATAATGGAGGGGTATATGCCTGGGAAGAGAGGAAGAGGAAGGCCAAGGAGAAGATGGGTGCAGGATGTGGCAGATGAACTCCAGATGGGTGTATCAGACGCAGGACATCTTGCTCAGGATAGGAAAGTTTTCCGGAGGGTTGTTATGGCAGCGAGGTTCCGCGAGGGACATGCTACTGAATGAATGAATGAACCTTCAATGACATGGATTTATTGCATAAAATGTTCTTTATTTTATTAATTGCAGTTTTGGCCTGTCCTGTTCTCTTCTTTATCGCTGTGATACATCTTCCAATCAGATGTTATCCATGTGCCTAGATACTTAAATTTCTGTACTTGTCCTATAATAACTCCTTTGACTTTGGCTCAAACCTAATTTTTATGCCTTTGTTGAGTCTGCAGTGTCCACTACAAAAGCAGCTGACATTTGAATGAGGGTTTATCTTGTGTTCTTCATCTTAAAAAAATCCATGCAATGTGGCGTTGCTAGTCATGTCTGCCAATACCTTCTGTCTCATATCCTTTCAATCAATGCTGACACAAATGATCTTACATAGTCCATGCCATGTGGCATTGCTAGTGATGTCTGCCAATACCTTCTGTCTCATATACTTTCAGTCAATTCTGACACAGATGATCTTCCATAGTCCATGCCATGTGGCATTTCTAGTCATGTCTGTCTTTACCTTCTGTCATATACTTTCAATCAATTGTGACACAGATTATCTTCCATAGTCTATGCCATTTGGTCATGTTATGCTAGTCCTGTCTGCCAATACCTTCTGTCCCATGTACTTTCAATAAATTTTGACACAGATGATCTTCCATAGTCCATACCATGTGGCCTTGGCAGTCATGTCTATCTTCAACCTTTTGTCCCATGTACTTTCTGTCAGTTCTGATACAGATGATCTTCCATAGTCCATGCCATGTGGCCTTGGCAGTCATGTCTATCTTCAACCTTCTGTCCCATGTACTTTCAGTCAGTTCTGATACAGATGATCTTCCATAGTCCATGCTGTGTGGCCTTGGCAGTCATGTCTATCCACAACCTTTTGTCCCATGTACTTTCTGTCTGTTCTGACACAGATGATCTTCCATGCCATGATGCCAGACTGTCCAGGACTTTCTCTCTTGGTCTCTCTCTGCCTCTCCTCCCCTCCAACTTTCCCACCATCACGATGTACTACAGTTTTCCTTTTCTCATGACATGTCTAAAAAATGTAGACTATCTCCTTCTGATGTGGGTAATCTGTTCTCTTTATGAGTCAGTTTCTCTCGAGACATTACTCTTTTTGTCTATTTATTTATTTATTTATTTGTGTGGGTGGAGTGCTATGGTATACAAGTCTTTCATAAATGCACACAATACAGTAAAACCTTGTTAACACAAACTTGATGAAGAAAAACAGTCACGTAACATGAACATCTTTTCAGCCCCATAGTATTATTATCATTAGTCATTGGTTAGCGTGTATTTTATTAATGAAAACTTGTGTGTGTGTGTGTGTGTGTGTGTGTGGGGGGGGGGGGGGGGGTACCTTGAATGTATGGTGCGACTGTAATAAGGCCTACATGTAACGGCATGCTTACGCCACTTATACAGTAATTGTAAAGTATGAAAGCTACCAGTTACTAGTACCATAATGTGAGCTGCTCCTGCGCACTCTCAGCAGTGAAGCAGCAAGGAGGAAAATATCATGTGATACCCTCTCCAGTGTAATCACTTACCCACTAATGCTTACACATGCATATTGATGACACCTCACCACTGGTGCTAACAAGATGTTAGTGTAGTATATTTTGTGCCATCTCTGAATGTTGGTAATGTCCTGGAAAATAAAGATGGCTGGCATGATCTGGAGATGTTTAAGATAATGTAGCACCTATGATTGTAAATTGCACACCAGAATATGTTGTTTCTTCAGGAATATGGCATCACGAAAGAAGAAAGATTGCACATCGGGCAGAGCTATTGCATGCCACTGTTGCGTAAGATACGTAGTGATCTTCTGCAGTGTATGAATGCTTCCATGGATGAGAACACTACAAGGCTTGATTCCAAGTATGTTTTTTAATTACACTTTACTTTTATTTTAGTGTGTTACACTTATGTTTTAGTGTACTTCTAACTTGGCTACAAAAGTCAAAGCTACGGGAACACTCGTATTGGACAAGGGAGATATTCTGAAGACTATATGTGAACAACTTTTGGCAGAAGGCACAAGATTAGATGAAACAACATTGGCAACAGTGTGTGAACGAGGAATTAAATGTGGATCCGGCAAGGAGGGACAGATGAGAGGAAGAGATTGGTGTGTGTATAATCAGTGTGCAACGAGAGCATTAGCATTTACACTTACTTCATTTGCTGTGGGAGACGGAGCATCTATGGGCATGCCCAATGGGCTATGATGTCATTTCTTAAATCAGTAATCAGGACTTCCAATCCAATATTGTTGATTGGTGAGCCACACTTTAACATTTTGATGATATTTTGCTTCTGTCAGTGGTTTGCTATCACATTTTCTTTCTTCGTTTTCTTCTTATTAGAGTTCACTGGTTGTGAACTCAGACAGAAAGTTCTAGGTGTTTATCAGCTTCTGATCTTTGATCTTGTTTTTTTATGCATATTCATTTTATAGATTTGAGTTTGCAGACCATTGGTTGCTCACCTTTCAGACAGATGTGCTCCGATTTTCATATCTATATCCTCTTTAAATCACTGTTGACACATAAGGCATTCACAAGTGATCTCCATCGCTGCCCGTCTGCTGCTTTTCTGCCCATGGTATCCCATGTCAGTTTACATTCCTTCATTTCCTGTTCTATTATCCTTCTCCAGGTTTCCTTAGGTCGTCCACGTCTCCTTTTCCCATCTGCTGTCCACAGGAGAGCTGTTTTTGCCAGAATGTCACAAGGCATTCTGCAAACCCGACTTTCATATAGGGGCTGAAAATACAGTTCTCTTAGGCCCAGCGAATACCTTAAGTGCATGTTGTGACCCCGAGGATTGCATGTGGAATGCTTGTTGACTTTGTAAGGTGCTGCCTGTTGTGACCAGCAGATATAGAGAATTGGGAGAGGAGAACTGTTGGAGCCTTATGCAATATTGTGCGTGCAACTGACAAGGCAGATGGTTCCACAGCACTGTTTTGCACAGTGTTGTATGTATGTTTTGTTATGTGTTACTTAATGTTTCACTTTATATGTGTGTTTGCATGTTTTGGAATATATATTATTTACATATATTTTAGTGTGTTTTGGTATGTACTACTTGTATTTTGCAGATATTTTAGTGTGTTTTATGTATATTTTGATATGTATTACTTAATGTTTTAGTGTTTTGTGTATGTTTTTGTATGCATTACTTATGCTTTACATATATTTTAGTGTTTTATGTATGTTTTGGTGTGCAGTACTGTATTTTATTGTATGTATTAATTATGTTTTACATATGAACTACTTATTTGGTGTGTTTACTTATGTTTTAAGTATGTATTTCTTTTTTTTCTTTTTTTTTTTGTTTAACTTATATTTTAAGTATGTATTTCTTGTTTTTTGTTATTGTTTAACTTATATTTTCAGTTTGTCTTTCTTGTTTTTTGTTATTGTTTAACTTATATTTTAAGTTTGTATTTCTTGTTTTTTGTTATTGTTTAACTTATATTTTAAGTTTGTATTTCTTGTTTTTTGTTACTGTTTAACTTATATTTTAAGTTTGTATTTCTTGTTTTTTGTTATTGTTTAACTTATATTTTAAGTATGTTTACTTAAGTTTAGTGTTTCTTTGCACAAGAACATTTCAAGGGGGCTGTGAGGTCCCCAGGCATGTGTCCACCTCGAGTGCTAGAGGTCTTCAGGCATGGTGTCCACCTCGAGTGCTAGAGGTTCCAGGTTCAGTCCCCAATAAGGGCTGAGATTTTTTCCATGTGGATGTTCAAAACCTCAAAGAACATTTCATACTGAGGTCAGCCTTAAATGTCCCCCTATGTACTCATAAACCCCACTCTGTTTAGTGGGTGAAAGGGACGGGCATCAAGTGTTGGATGGATGAAAAACAAAGAATGCGTTTTGCTTTTGTTTGAACACGTATCCAGTACAGGAAGTCATTGCTGTCTATAAGAATAATGCTCATCTTTGTGTGTATTTGTCTTCTTCTTCTTTCGTTCGCCTGAAATAAGTTGTCTATATCAGCAGTTTTGTCTCTTGTATAAATTTCACTGTTGTTAGTTCATTCAGTGGTCCATAGAGTTTATGTTCCATGGTTCTTCTTTTTGGCCAAAAGGTTTGCCTTAATGTGTCAAATTCTGTGCTGTCTTTGAGTACATGCTGTGCTGTCTGGGGCACATTTCCACAGGTGCACATGGCTGATGTGCCTATCTTGAATTATGTTGTATTTGTCTTAACTCACAGGTTAACTCAGCCTAAAATTGGGAAAGTCCTGGGAAGTAAATGCAGCCACCATAATGTGGAAAAGGGTCTTTCCTCATTATGTGTCCAGCCCAGAGAAGTTTGTGACACCTCTCCAAACCCACATGCACATCTTCAGATGAATGATAATGAAGGTTTGCTCTGTTTCATACAGGTATTCCAATGGTGTGTCCAGCCCAGAGAAGTTTGTGACACCTCTCCAAACCCACATGCACATCTTCAGATGAATGATAATGAAGGTTTGCTCTGTTTCATACGGGTATTCCAATGGTGTGTCCAGCCCAGAGAAGTTTGTGACACCTCTCCAAACCCACATGCACATCTTCAGATGAATGATAATGAAGGTTTGCTCTGTTTCATACGGGTATTCCAATGGTGTGTCCAGCCCAGAGCAGTTTACGAGAACCCACAGACATACATGCACATCTTCGGATAAATGATAATGAAGGTTTACTTTGTTTCAAACAGGTAGTCCAGTGGTGTATCCAGCCCAGAGAGGCTTATGAGAACCCTTAGACACACATCACATTTTTGGATAAATAATCATGAAGGTTTGTTTTCTTTCAAACAGGTATTCCAATGGTGTCTCCAGCCCAGAGAGATTTGTGAGAACCCGTCTGTACTTTACCAGTGAAAGTCACATACATTCCTTGCTGTCTATTCTACGCTACGGAGGACTGCTGGATGTACGAATATTTGTCTCTTTGTCTCACTCACAGATTATTACTAACTCTTTCATTACTGTACTAAGCAATAAGTCATACGTTCCCTGATTACTCTACCATTTGTTACTAACTCTTTCATTACTGTACTAAGCAATGAGTCATACGTTCCCTGATTACTCTACCATTTGTTACTAACTCTTTCATTACTGTACTAAGCAATGAGTCATACGTTCCCTGATTACTCTACCATTTGTTACTAACTCTTTCATTACTGTACTAAGCAATGAGTCATACATTCCCTGATTACTCTACCGTTTGTTACTAACTCTTTCATTACTGTATGAAGCAATGAGTCATACGTTCCCTGATTACTCTACCATTTGTTACTAACTCTTTCATTACTGTACTAAGCAATGAGTCATACGTTTCCTGATAGCTCTACCGTTGTGAACATTTAAATCTTACCTTCTCATTTATTTTTTGCTTATATCAGCCATTCAAACCCAAAGAGGTAGCTCTTTGCACAAGCAGAAGTTGCTATCAGAATTGTTTGTGCTACTGACAAGATAGTGCATGGTGAGGAATGGGTTACAGTGTCACCCAGCAACAGAGTGATAGTTACCCTGGACCTAGGATGCTGGGAATGGATAGCTGGTGAAACAGAGGCATCAGTGCAAGAGCAGACTAATGAAAACTCATACCCAGGAGACATTGTTCTTTACCCCTATGGATCTGTAGTGAGAGGTAGAAAGAGTGGGTGGGGTTTCATTGTAAAGGTGAATGGACACCATTTGAAAACAGGGAGTCTTGCGTACAACATCACAACATCCGGTATGAGAATGGAGGTGGAGGCAGTAGCGGCAGCTTTCCGATGGATGGAGAGCAGCACAGTCCAACATGTGGTAATTGTAATAGACTCACAGAGCATGCTTCAGAAAATATAAACCGGCGTCCTACGCATAGAGTGGCTTGCTTCACTTGATAAGACTATCCAGGATAGTTAGGCATGCAGGGTAATAAAGAGAATAGGGGCTTTGAGCTGAAATGCTATAAAAAGATTCTCAGAATATCTTGGACAAAGAAGAGGAGACAATACTGACATCTTGAAAGATCTGAACATCAAGGGAGATTGGCTAATAAACGGCATCCTGTCTCGGAAGTTGAAATATTTTGGTCATATCAAACGCCACAACGGATTGGAAAAAAAATCATAGGCATGGTACCAGGAAGGAGGGGCAGGGCCCGACCAACACGAAGATGGGCACAGTATATAAGTGACTCCTTGAGTATGAAAGTACATGAGGCGGGAGAGCTGGCGAGATACCAAGTTTTTTTTTTCAGGCAGACCGTGATGAGAGCGATGTTCTGCAAAGGACCTGCTACATGATGATGAGGGTAATAACCATGCTTATAGATTGACTGCTGTGGCTCCTCTGGATGATGAACTACTTTATGACAAAGCAGATGTGGTGAAGCTCTCTGGGATCAAGTGGACAGTACAGCAGAATGGACCAAACACTCATACATTGACAGACTAATTCAGCAGGGGATGAGCAGAGGGTCGGGAAGATATTCAACAGTGACAGGAAAACCAGTAAACAGGTTGCAACTGGTACAGTTAGCATATTGACTCTTTGTTGGCTACTGAAGAAGGAGAAGGAAGCATGTGTGGGAATGTCCCAAGTGCAGGGATGCCAGTTCCTGATTCATTCATTCACCACTAGCTTTGCTTCCATTATATCTTAGTCTTCTTCTTCTTCTTCTTCTTCTTCTTCATGTTCACCGGCTGTAAACTCCGGCGGAAAGTTCTGGTTGTTTATCCACCTCTTGACTGCAATCCTGTTTCAGAACCTGAGTGATATGTGTGCATCCTTTTGACAGATGCACTCTGACTTCGAAGGAAGGCTTGTGACATGCTTTGGGGTAAGCAGTGGGTCTATTCTTGTTTTTACTTTAATAGGGTTCTGGAACCCACACAAATGACAGGGCTCTCTGTTGTGCATTATCTGATGTAGGCCTTGACACATGTGCGAGCCATTTGATCGTCTCTTGATGTAGTTTACTACTCGTTCTGTCTTAGCTTCTTTCCCGATATTGTCATTTTTTTGGGTTTTGTTTAATCAAGTCTTTTCCAGTTACATTAGCACTCTTTGCCATTGTATTTCAGGAGGAGAAAGATGAGCAATGGAAGCAGTCTGTAGACTTTATAGGAGCTTGTGCTGAGCTGAACTACATGTCCCAGATTGTGTTGATGATGTTTGAGGATCCTGCACAGGTGAGGATTGGGGACTACATGTCTCAGATTGTGTTATTGATGTTTGAGAATCAGTTGTTGTAACTACATGTCCCAGATTGTGCTATTGATGTTTGAGGATCCTGCACAGGTGAGGATTGGGGACTACATGTCCCAGATTGTGTTGATGATGTTTGTGGATCCTGCACAGGTGAGGATTGGGGACTACATGTCCCAGATTGTGTTATTGATGTTTGAGAATCAGTTGTTGTAACTACATGTCCCAGATTGTGTTGATGATGTTTGATGATCCTGCACAGGTGAGGATTGGTTGTTGTTACTTTAAGTGAGGCAGAAACTGGTCAAGAAGCCAGCTTTATTGTCATGGTTTTCCTATACCTTCTCCTGGATTGTTTAAGTAGATGTTTAAAGGCAAGGGGACCAGCTTTATTGTGGCGAGTTTGATCTGCAGTGGCTTAGTCTCTTTCTACAGAACAGCTGGTCATTCATAAGATCATTGCTCAAAACATGAACATTTTATCTCCAACAATTATTATCCAACCCCCTCCCCCTTTCTCTCCCAGTTGATTTGTTAAACATTATAATTTTAATTTTTTTTCTCAACTTGAAATATATATTTTTTATGTATATGTAAAGTTATCAGTAAACATGAACAGGGTGAAGCACTGAATGGAATACGTTCCTCGAGGCATAACAGAACAAATTGTTGGGTAACTCATGCCGACCTCTATCATTGAGGCCTATGGGGAAAAATTTGACATCAGTGTGGCTGTCAACAACAACAAAAACCATTGGGGTCTTACGGTTTAAGGTTTTTAATTTTTTGAACAACGGATCAACATCATGGCACATGTGTAGTAACCCAGAAGTGCTCCGTTCTTCTTCTTCTACCTCAAGTCTGAGTCCGAAGAAGCTCAGCGCAGTGCACAGACTCTGTAGCACCGGCGAGGGTCCTGAAATACTTTGGGTAGATTTTTAACTCCAAAATTTGCCTGGACAGCGCCATTAGGCTACCCTTTTCCATTTCTAGCAATGCACACAGGCGTCTGATCTCACTACCCTGAGACCAGGGTTTTTTACTAGAAGTGCACGTGAAAAGATCCCAGTCCTTACCGGGTATTGAACCAGGAATCTCTAGCACTTGAGGCGGACACCATGCCTCAAGAACATGCAGCCCCCTAGGGGTCCTAAGAAAACCCCCTATATCCTGTTTAGTTACTATATTCATTTCCTGGCCCATTAAACACTTCAGGTGCACATAGGACCAATGAATTTAACTACACCAAATATTGGCATATACTGCCATATATGGGACTTTTAACAGCCAGAAGTGACTGTATTTAGCCTTCTAGGGGTTACAGAGCAAAAGGCAGTTTAATCATAGTATGGCAGAGGTCACAAATTGTGTCTCTGATTTTAATTATTTTTTAACTAAACCGAACTATCCTCCATTTTAAGATATTTGAATTCTCAGCCTTTCATTTTAAAAACTCCCCACCCACAGAGTGAAGATTCCGACGAAAGATTCCACATTGAGCTTCACTTTAGTCCTGGGGCGTACACTTCCTGTGATGAGATGGCAGCTGAACCGAAGGGTATGGGATTCAGGCCAAAGCCAAACAGAGAAACAGTCAGTGTGAGTATAATTTATTGTCAGAACATTGAGTCTGCCTGTGGATTTTGGGATCCTGTTGGGGGGGGGGGGGGGGGATAGACCCACTGCCTCCTTAACAAGCATGTCATCAAAGTCGGCTAATTACAGAGCTAGAACCAACAGTCTGCAAACAAATAAGCCATCTAAGAAAGAGATGTGCATACAAAAATTTAGTTCTTGAACAAGACTAAAATTCAGAAGTGGGTGAACAACTAGAACTTTCTGCTAAAGTTTACTGGTTGTGAAAGCCAAGAGGAAGAAGAAAGAACTGAGAGAAACAGTCAGTGTAGGTAATTTGTTGTTAGGAACAATGAAAGAAACAGTCAGTGTGGGTAATTTGTTGTTAGGAACAATGAAAGAAACAGTCAGTGTGGGTAATTTGTTGTTAGGAACAATGAAAGAAACAGTCAGTGTGGGTAATTTGTTGTCAGAAACAATGAGACAAACAGCCTGCTGAAGATAGGGATGGAGCATTTATGAGTATGTCCTGAGTGCTGTGATTCAGTTACTAACCCAACTTGACTCATGAAAGAAAAACCTAAAAAGAAAAATATGTCATTGAAAACAAAAAAGCAGTAAGCATCAAAACAGATAATGTAAAAAAAAAATTTTTTTTAATCTAGAGAAGGCTAACCAGGTCAAGGAATGCCAGCAGAGGTCGGATGTTTTGGCCGAAAGGTGCAAATATTTCAGCCATGCTGTAAAATGGCAAAACGCAGTTACATCTTCAGAGGAATGCAAGAAAAGATTTTAAAATTCTCTGCTGCTTCTTCATCTTATATCCATGTTGCGGCATGTCTGTCATTTTGTCTGTCTGCAATTTTCTGTTTTATTTACTGTGAGTTCCCCATGTGGATTGCAGGGCCCCATTTTGAAGGGGATAATGAAAAGACTACTACCCCCTAAGAAGCAGGTAGTCATCATAATTGCGTAGGCATTCATGCATCTCCACAGGTCACGTCCCTTGACCTCTGGATTAGTTTCACTGATCCCCTGTGTGGGTTCCAGGGCCCCATTGTGGGGAAAACAAGAATAGACCCACTGCCTCCCCAAAAGCATGTCGTAAGAGTCGACTAATTGGGGAGCTTCCTTTGAAGTCGGAGTGCATCTGCCGGAGAGGCAAGGAACCAACAGTCTGTATTCAAGAGATTGAGATCTGTAAAACTGATGCACACGCAACACTCAGGTTCTGGAGCAGGACTGCAGTTCAGTAGTGGACGAGCAACCAGAACTTTCCGCCAGAGTGTACAGCTGGTGAACGCGAAGAAGAAGAAGAAGTTTCACTGATGACATCCCTCTGTGCCACCATCGCAATCCATCCGTCATCATCTCTCTCGGTCTGCCTCTCCCTCTTCTACCGTTGATCTTAATTGTCACAGTATTCTCCAGAGCCTCCTGATCACATGACCAAAGAACAGTGGTTGTCTTTTCCTTACACCTGTATCTATTGATCTGCTTTCAGTAGCTTCCTTCAAGCAATCCTCGATGTTACTCCAGCAGTCCAAGGGATTCTTAACATTCGTCTGAGAAACCACATCTCCGTTGCGTCCAAATATGTAATAAATGGTGATTGTTTAAAAGTTTGCTAAAATCAGGTGTGTTGGGCCAAAAGGTACAGATATTTTCGACTAGCTGTAAACCACAACACAACTGCCTTTTTAAGGGTGAATGTAAAGGAAACAGAGGAATTTACTATTGAAAATTTCTTATGTAGGTGTCTTTTATATAGATGTCCAGCATCCTCTTTCTTATTACTGGTACCATAAGAACTCTGAGCTGGCTGCCGAAGATGGGGACAGATCGCTTATGAGAATGGCCTGAGTGCTGTAATGTCGGTTCTTGAATTAACTCGACTTTCTTGGTATCCATCCACCTTTCTTCCCCTCCAAATTTTCATGTTCCTCATAATTTTTTTTTTTTTCCCTTATAATGAGCATTGATAAATGTATGCAGGAAACAACAACTCCTACAAACCTGCATGAAGTGCTAGAAGTGTCCCCAGCTAAGAGTAGTGGCTCCCAGAGGAGCACGCCAGTCTTGAGGCAGTGTATATCGCTGCCAGACAACGTACAGGAGGACTTGGTGGAGAGTGATCTGTTTCCCTTCACCGACAAGGACTTCAGTATCAAGGACATACATTCAAATGTGAGATTTTTTTGTAATCTCCTCCTTCCTCTTCTTGCCATCTTCCTATTCCTCCTCTTCTGTCTTTTTCTCTTCATATTTCTCTTCCTTTTACTCCTTCTCCTCCTTCCTCTTCTTGTCATCCTCCTACTCTTCCTCCTCCATCTTCTTCTCTTTTTTTCTCTTCCTTTTACTCCTTCTCCTCCTTTGTCTTCTTGTCATCCTCCTATTCCTCTTCCTCCATCTTCTTCTCTTCATATTTCTCTTCCTTTTACTCCTTCTCCTCCTCTTTCTTCTTTTTCCTATTATTATCTTCAACGTATCATCCTCCTCCTCAGTGAAAAGTTTAATTGATTAATCATCAGTTGTTTTACACCTTTGGAGCTTTTGAAGAGATCAGAGCCCACCTGTGGATCTGTCCTGAAGGCTGGGAGAAAATCCTGACAAATCACTGACTATTAACCAGTTTAAAGTGCTTGGATCCCTGCCTTAGTAAATCTTGCAGTGTGCAGCGGCTCACGACACCAGTTCTTTGTTGGTTTCTTTCTTCTCTGGCTTCCAGCATAGTGCTCTTGTCTGGCCACACCCCTTTGAACATGTTCTTGCAGTCTGGTCATTGTTGCAGATTCACAGTCATCACTTGGTTCTCGCAAAAGTAGTGCAAACTTTAACTGTTCCAGCATGCTGAAAGAAGAAATACTATCTGAATACAACCTGGAAATTAAGCTTACTATGCCTTTCAAAATCTGCTAAAATCAAAGTCTCTCTCGCTACACCAAGATCTTACAACAAATTTTTGGACCCATCAAAAATGCAGATAGTTGGGAATGGAGAATGAAGCAACAACAAAATTCAGAATTTGTTTAAATCACTATTGATCACTGACAACTTAGGGCTAATCAACTTTAATGGTTGGGGTATATTGAGAGAATGGCATATGACAGAGAGGTAAAAACTATAAATACAAGGGAGCTGAACAGTCATAGACCATGAGGCAGACCAAGAGGATGATGGAGAAAAAATATCCAGACAGATCTACAAACACTTAATGTCACCAGCTGTAAAAAGAAGGCCAACCAACCAGAGAGATGAGAGGAGGTGGGTGATATCTGCAAAAAAAAAGTGTAACCTAGAACCCAGGGGAGAAATGAAACCTAGGATCTAGGGTAGAATAATTTAAACCTAGGTCCCAGGGAAGAAGTTAAACCTAGGACCCAGGGGAGAAGTGAAACCTAGGACCCATGGGAGAAGTTAAACCTAGGACCCAGGGGAGAAGTGAAACCTAGGACCCAGGGGAGAAGTGAAACCTAGGACCCAGGGGAGATGTTAAACCTAGGACCCAGGGGAGAAGTTAAACTTAGGACCCAGTGGAGAAGTTAAACCTAGGACCCAGGGGAGAAGTGAAACCTAGGACCAGGGGAGAAGTAACCTAGCACCCAGTGTCAGAGCTGATGGTTTGCCTGCCATAGTTGCCAGAAATAAATCATAATTTTACAAATCAGTGACACCCTGTTAGAATAAATCATAATTTTACAAATCAGTGAAGCCCTGTTAGCGTATGTTGACAACCTCAATGATTTAGGACCGTTATTCAGAGGAGTGCTTCCCACAGTATTGTGGTATATTCACCAGAAAGAAGTATGATTGAGGCCCTGCTAAGGTGTTTTATTAGCCTCAATAATTTAGGACCGTTATTCGGATGATAGCCTGATATTTATGTTTCTCTAATGTAAATCCATTTTAAAAAAAAATTTTAAACAGAGCTAGTTGGTGAATTTCATTGTGGATTTTGAAATCAGCAATAAGAAGTATATTTAAATTCTGATACCAAATTTTTCGAGTTTGTTGACTAATGTTATAGTTCATCATGCCTTTCCTTTGAGGATTGCATGATGGCCATACCCCTTGGTCACTGCCCCCTGCACCGTTCAGTGCGGTCAGAACATAAACCATTACTGCAAGAACCCTGACATAGCCTGCTTTCTTTGACTCTCCGCACATGGAGGTTTTCATTTTGTATTCTCTCACTTGTTACCAGAATGCTGCCAAAGAAAAACCCAGCTCCAAGGTCTGTCTTCCGTCACCTGACCCAGACAGACTGGAGTGGGACACTCACATAGCCTGCTTTCTTTGACTCTCGGCACATGGAGGTTTTCATTTTGTATTCTTTCACTTGTTACCAGAATGCTGCCACAGAAAAACCCAACTCCAGGGTCTGTCTTCCGTCACCTGACCCAGACAGACTGGAGTGGGACACTCACATAGCCTGCTTTCTTTGACTCTCGGCACATGGAGGTTTTCATTTTGTATTCTTTCACTTGTTACCAGAATGCTGCCAAAGAAAAACCCAGCTCCAAGGTCCGTCTTCCGTCACCTGACCCAGACACACCTGAGTGGGACTGGGGAGATGAGGACGGGGGTGAAGACAATACCGTCAGGGAAAATATAAAAGGCAGGAAAAGTATTTTGGAGGTAAGATAATGGTTATCTTTCTAAGAGATATAGGACACCTGTGAAAAGGATCCCAGTGTTTGTTTGGGGGGGGGGGGGGGGGGGGGGGGGTTGGAAATACTACTCCCTAACAATCAATCAGTCATTTGCTACCTAATAATCAGTCAGTCATTTGCTCCCACTGCACCCTAACAATCAATCAGTCATTTGTTCCCACTGTTCAATCAGTCATTTGCTCCCTAACAATAAATCAATCAGTCATTTGCTCCCGCTGCTCCATAACAATCAATCAGTCATTTGCTCCCTAACAATCAATCAGTCATTTGCTCCCTAATAATCAATCAGTCATTTGCTCCCTAATAATCAATCAGTCATTTGCTCCCGCTGCTCCATAACAATTGATTAAT